TACAGTAGCCCAGAAGGGACAAACGAAACACTGACTGTAGATAGAGCCTTTCGTGTGTTTTTCAACCTCTTGGATTGGCTGGAAAATGCATCATCACAAAGCTGAAACAGGCTGTTTAGATGATCATACATATCTTATACTACCAACAGTATATAAAGTAGTTCAAATGAGCTCAACCTTAAACATCTACAGCAGTAATATTAATGTTAAAAACATGTTAAAACATCAGATATAAAAGTGAACACTGACTGCACTATGAGTACTTTTACTTTCATACTTTGAGTACATTTTGCTCTTACTTCAGCAGGGTTTTATTTTCAGTAAATTGTCAAGAAATAGAAAAATGTCAAAAAAGAAGCCTGTTAAGTCTATATGATTGTTAAAACTATTTAAAAATTCACAATACAGACAGAGAATTGTATAAAAAGTTCCCTAAACAAGAAATAATCTGCTTCAAAAAAACGTCACTGTTTGGGTTCATTGTACAGTTTTGAATATAAATAATGAAATATTCATAAAATATGTCACTGAGTCAGTTTACTAAATGATAGAAAATGGGTCACTTGAGGAAAAAGCTTGGGAACCGCTGTCTGTCTTTATTAAAAAGGAGACACTCGTTAACGGCTACAGAATGAAGCCGATGAGTGTTTTGAATTAAACGTCTGTGTGGAACATTTGTCAAGCAGATGCTGTTTGTGTGTCTGTATTTGCTCGCAGAGTGTCCTCCTCTGGGTTTAGAGTCCCACCGGGTGGAAGACGACCAGCTGCTGGCTTCCTCTCAGTCTCACCACGGCTTCGCGGCTCAGAGGGGACGACTCAACATGCAGGTACAGACGGACACTGTTGGGATTGTTGGGGAAGTGGGGATTGTCTGTGGAGATGAATTAAAGCCGTGGTCGCCTGCAGGGCTCCGATAATGAGGACGACCTGTACGGCGGTGGATGGTGTGCAGAGGCAGAAGAGAGGAACCACTGGTTTGAGGTCGATGCCCGCCGAGAGGTGGAGTTCACAGGGGTCATCACTCAGGGAAGAAACTCAGAGCAGCAGTGAGTCCCGCTTAAACTGCATGTTGCTGTGATTCAATTACATTTAATTTGTATAGTGCCAAGTCAGAATAAAACTTATCTCAGGACCTGGATTTCATACAAATAATAACTGATTTAATCTCATTTTCTTCCTAGTGAGGATTTTGTGTCCTCCTACTTCGTGGCCTTCAGTAACGACAGTCGAGACTGGACTACACTGCATGACGGCTACGCTGAATGGGTAGGTGGGACTTAAACAATACCAATAACAACCAATGTTTAACAGGAAGACACTGAATGATTACAGCTCTGAGATTCTCTCTCTCTGCAGTTGTTCTATGGGAACGTGGATCGGGACACACCGGTGATGAGCCAGTTTTCTACGCCCGTGGTGGCGCGCTACATCCGCATCCTGCCTCAAAGCTGGAACGGCAGCTTGTGTCTGAGAGCTGAGATCTTGGCCTGTCAACTTCCCAGTCAGTACCACAGAGAACATCATTCTGAATGTCACATCTCCAACATGGAAACTTCACAGTTCACACCATAATCTCTTTACCTGTAGCGTTACTTATCCATCTAGATTGTTTTGGTGTGAGTTTCTGAGTTTTGGAGATAACGGCCGAAGCCTGGTACAAAAAGTATATCTCACTGTACTCTGGACGTGATCGGTTTCTCCTCGGCCGACAGCAGCACATACCTGCCAAGTGCATCTGCAACTGGCTGCCCTCAGCATCACTTTATCTGCTCTTTATAGCCGTGACATGGTTGGTCATGGTAACTAAATAGCATCTGTGGATTATCATTACAGAATAACCCAATCCTGTTGAGTTTTAGGCGAAACTTTGTGGCACCACTACGCCGAGTTCCATCTTATATTGGAGAGAAGGCTCCAAAACTCACATCAAACTCTAGATGGATAAGAAATAGCACTACAGATAAGAGGAAAGACATGTATTTTTGGGTTAACTTTCCCTTTAAAGGTTTCTGAAGGGTTTCATGACCTCATGAGTCACCAAGCTTTCTCATTCCTTTGAGTTGTATGTCAGCTTCCACTGGGAGAAAAAACATAACTTTTGCCAAACTTGAAGTTAGAATGGTTTCACCCAACTATGGTGAAATATAAGAGTCTATTTCACAACATGAACTTCATAACCTCACTGTTACTTTATTACATAAGACTGAATAGCTGCTGAGCGCTGTGTCCTGTAACTACGATGCATTAATTATTTCAGGCAGCTACCGCAGTGAGAATGAGGTCAACCCGTCAGATGACCTGGACTTCAGACACCACAACTACAAGGAGATGAGACAGGTCTGTTTTTAACCCGGATTAATACAAAATAAAGCATTGTGGAATATTATTAACTTTAATATTATTAACTGTAAATATCACAGATTAGTTTCTCCTGGTCTCTGACTTCCAGATGATGAAGGTGATAAACGAAGAGTGTCCCAACATCACCAGGATCTACAACATCGGTAAAAGCTCTCAGGGCCTGAAGATGTACGCCATGGAGATCTCTGACAACCCCGGAGAGCATGAGACAGGTACGAGAGACAGACAGCTGACAATAAACACACAACCAGAACATATCAACAGGCCCAACAACCTAAATAATCAACAAAACACTGAGAATATAAAAATAAGAAAGAAGTAGATTATGATATATAATAAGATGAATATTTTATTTAGAGATTAAACACATTTCTTTTTTCCTTTTGTTCCGCCGTCACTCAGGTGAACCTGAGTTTCGGTACACAGCTGGTCTCCATGGTAACGAGGCGCTGGGTCGAGAGCTTCTCCTCCTGCTGATGCAGTTTCTGTGCAAGGAGTACAATGACGAAAACCCCAGAGTGCGCCGCCTGGTGGACGGAGTGAGAATACACCTGGTGCCTTCACTCAACCCCGACGCTTACGAGCTAGCATATGAGATGGTACGATGGAAGATAAATTACACCATAACAACAAAACATTGGTGTAGAAATGAGCCTCTGGGTCAGAATAACTCGTAGCCTCATAAGGCAGTTTAAGGGCCACTTTTTCAACTATTATTTTCATGATGTATGTATGTAACACCTTTAAAATGTTTTGAGACCTAACGTGGTCCATCTTGTCGTCCAGGGCTCAGAGATGGGGAACTGGGCACTGGGCCACTGGACCGAAGAAGGTTACGACATCTTCCAGAATTTCCCAGATCTCAACAGCATCTTGTGGGGAGCCGAGGACAGAGGCTGGGTCCCTCGTGTCGTGCCCAACCATCACATCCCCCTCCCAGAAAACTCCCTCAATGGCTCAGTGAGTTTGTTGTACGCCTCCAAGGGCACATTTAACACTTTTAATTCCTACCGAATGTATTGACATTCAAATATTTCTCTGCTTCTTGATCACGTAGCTCGCGACTGAGACCAAAGCCATCATTTCCTGGATGGAGCGCAATCCATTTGTGCTGGGAGCCAATTTGCAAGGAGGAGAAAAACTGGTGGCATACCCTTTTGACATGCAGCGTCCACCAGTTTCTGTAAGGCTATTTTACAAAGACAAACCCAATAAACGTACAGAACAATTTCAAGTGTACACCCACATAATAAGCCTTTAATACCTTCATGTTGTTAAAGTTAACCGATAGCCGACGTTGGAGGAATAATGCTGACATGAACGAGGAGACATGGGCTCGCATTCAGCGGCAGAACGAGGGAGCTCTGAGGGAGACGCCCGACGACGCCATGTTCCGATGGTTGGCGATGTCCTTCGCCCACAGCCATCTGACCATGACGGAGACCTACCGAGGCTCCTGCCATGGTGATGATATCACAGCTGCACAGGGAATCACCAACAGAGCCAGCTGGAAGCCAGTGGTGGGCAGTAAGTGTTGCTGGCACAGAAGCTGTGTTTCCACCCAGAGTACCCATGTGTCGAAGCACAATGAACAAAAAAAATGGTTTGTGGCTGCAGATTTAAAAAGCTGTGAGTACTCTACCAATCAGAAATGTTCGGTGCTGAAAGTCCCAAAGTTCCTGTACTAAAGCAGGGACTATTAGGAGGGTAAAATAATGTCTCCAGCACTTAATTTAAAAGGGACCAGTTCCTCCAAAGGTTCCTATGGTAGAACCGTGGCTAAAGAAATAGTAAATGGACATTGTACTTTAGTGGTGCAACTGACGAGTGTTTCTTGGGCTTTTAGGGGTTACCTGCTTTGCCTGGTTGGCAATCAAACCTTCAACCATCAACTCCAAGTTGTGTGTAACCACGCAGGTAGCTTCGGATTTATTAAGGTTTTCAGATCTACGCTGCCAATTAAATTAAATGAAAGTCACAGGAGTTACATTTGTGGTACTGCAAGACTTGAAATTCAATTCAAATGAAAACTCAACAGAAACAGAGTTCTAGTTACTCTCAATATAAAGTAGTTCCTAATGAAACATGCTGACAGTGCTATCCATTTTTTGGAAAGACGTGTTGCTAGTAACAGTTTGTAATGTAACATATTGAAGCATTGACTCCATTGTATGAGGGTGTTGGCAGGAGTGGATACTAAAATAGAAACTATACATGGGGTGTGAACTGAACCTGTCATCCTCTTCTACAGGTATGAATGACTTCAGCTACCTGCACACCAACTGCTTTGAGCTGTCAATCTTCTTGGGCTGTGACAAGTTTCCTCATGAAAGTGAACTGGCTCTGGAGTGGGAGAACAACCGCGAGGCTCTGCTGTCCTTTATTGAGCAGGTAAGAACAGGACTGACAGTATAGTGGAATTAACTGACATCATCCAGCGAGGCGCACTTGTTGTGCAAACACACATTCCTGGTAGATTACATTCTTATAGGGGTTATTTTTACTTCACGATTGTTGCCACAGTGAGAACTTTCTAGAGTTGTAAAGGCTTGTTTACAACTCTAGTTTGAAGGCTTTTAGACAGAGAATCACTGACAGCCACCTTGTGTAGGGTTTGTACATTTATGACTCTTTATGACCCTCTGGTGGAAGTCAGGGTTGTTTCATTTTTCTACAAAAACAGCCATCAGAATAATATGAAAGATGCTGTACTCTCTGGCCTGCTGTTTCCTGTTCAGGTACATCGAGGGATAAAGGGTGTAGTGAGAGACATGGAGGGGAATGTGCTGCCTAATGCCACCATATCTGTGGAGGGAATACGGCACGATGTCAAAACCGGTACGTACGACAAATACAGTTTTACCAGCTCTGTCGTTATCTTAGATTATACATATCAGGCACACATTTTTTACTGGCCGTTTTCTTGCAAAGCTGAAACTTTAACTGCACCAGTCTTGATGTTGTGAAGGCGAGCAACAATGCTAGTAATGATAAATGGCTAATTCCACTCCCAAATGCATTAAAACTTATAGTAAACAAGCCTGTCTTTCCCGAGTGAAAGTAAGAAGATAGTTTATAAAAATTGTTGGATAATGGTAAGTCACGCATTTTTTCCCCCTGTTACTCATTTCAGCTGTCGGTGGTGATTACTGGCGGCTGTTGAATCCCGGAGAGTACAAGGTGACCGCCAAAGCCGACGGCTACACCCCTCAGACCAGACTGTGCATGGTGGGCTACGACGCTGGAGCCACTCCATGCAGCTTCACCTTGGCCAAATCCAACTGGGACCGCATCAAGCAGATCATGGCTCTCAGCGGCAAGAGGCCCATTCGACTTGTCCCCAAAGTGGTGAAAACGACCGCCGCCAGCGCAGTGGAGGTCACCAGCACCACGGAGAGTCACGCCAACTCTCAGAACGCAGAGAGGCTCAGGCGGCTCAGGATCATGCGTCTGCGCCGGATACGGCAGCAGAGGTTACGAGCCGGTCTTCGTACCACTTCTACTACCACAACAACCACCACCACCACCACCACAACGACGACGACGACGAGAGCCCCCACAACATTACCCGTAACAGAGACCACCACCTCCTGGTACGACTCCTGGTTCCCTGTGGACAACTGGTCGACTGAGAACCCGTTCGATAGCGTCATCTTTGACCCCGTGGCCACACAAGACTATCCTTTTGAGTACACCATCGATTGATTACTACGTTCCCCACATCTATGTTATACAAAGACCTTACTAACCACTTCAGTTTGCTGCAACAGCACAGCTTTACAAATGCACAATACATAGGTTGTTCAATGTTTAGTTCTCACAAAGTCATCTTAAGGGAACGATCATAAGATAAATATGTGTTGGAAAATTCTTCATAGAGAATTGATCTGGAATAGAAAGCTTCTGCTGAGCAGAGACTATACAGCACAGGTTTAATTGGCTCTATGTTCAGTAAAACAATATAAAGTACGCCACAATACAAACAGGATATGATTAGGTACTTCTCCATTAGAAATGTATGCATATCTCTACGTTTCTTTAATGGCTTTACAGTGTGATTGCTGGCCTCAGTTAAACTGATTCAATGTACTGCTGAATGCATTTGATTAAAGTGAAGTTATTTTCTAAATTTCTTCAGTCTGTGTATTATTTGTTTAAAGTGAAGTTGCAACAATTAACAAATTCAATCAATCCCTGTGATATTTGTGGTTTTTAGTGAAATATCACAACATGGATATCAGATGAACAAACATCCGCGTGATGAGAACAACCTAAAATGACAGAATCTTTGGAAAGAATTTATTTGACTTTTTGTCCCATCTCCAGGAAGTGAACATAGTAAAGATTAAACCTAAACATCAGCATTGTAAATACGACCCACACTAGAACTACAATACAAATACTCTGTGTTTGAGAAGAAATTATTTTATTTTAATAAACACTTTCGAGAACAGAAACATTAGAAATGAGATAATATGGATTCTGTATTCCTCTAATAAATCTCAGCCTGTTTGGATTTGACAAAATCCAACTTCAATCTGATGATTCTCACCGTTTCTTCTTGTTTCAAAGTTTAAATCCGTATTCATAGTCCGTTTTGTCCGTGGTCCATATAGCTTCAACAGCCCGTTCGATCCAGAGTCCAAACTGTTTATATTGGTCTCACCTGGGCCAGCACCGCAGAGCGAACCGTCCTCCTGGTCAAAGTCTCTGCACAGTCGTAACATCCAGGACGGAAACACATTCATGTGTACGGCAGCTGCAGCTATGACTGACCCGCCTTGCCTTTTCTGTTCCTCCCTCCGGTGTACCGGAAACTCTTGAGTGGGTTCTTCCCCTGGATGTTCTTCTGCAAGTGAGAAAGTCGAGACTCATACAAAGTAGACTAAAGTTTAGACCACTGACAGATATACGGCTGCAATTTAGGATTATTTCCATTGCAGATTAAGTTTTCCTCAAACCGAGAGACTCCTTAATTGATCCTCAGCACTCAATCATGTAAACTAGTTTATATTTATTCTATCTACATTTATTTATACTATATATTTCATATATATCTTTGTATATAACCTTTTGTGTGTAGCGTAAAGATAACTTTATATATAACTTAATCTCGTTATCCAACCCTGTGTTGTAAAACGATAAATAAATCTACCTTGTAATCTAATAATTGATGAGTCAAAAAGTGATAAAATAGTTCCCACAGCTCATGGTTTTGCCTGAATCCATCTCATATGACAAACTGAATATCTGAGGATTTTTGGATTTAAAACTAGACATTTTTTACATTTCAGAAGGTGGAACCAGTGAATGTTTACACAAAAGATCAATTGATGATGAAAATTGACAGTTAATATCATCAAAATATAAAACCTACAATACAAGACCTGCAAACTCATAACACTACACATCAGAAAGCCCTAATATGTTTTCATTGGACAGTGAACAACAGTTCCCCATATGTCAGTCTGTCAGTCTCACCTTAAAACCGCTCTTGACGACTCCTTCTGGTTTTGGTTTCTCCCTCCTCTTCCTCCTCCTCCTGCCTGACAGAGTCACCGCGCTCCTCAGTGTCTCTGGAACTGTAGGGAGTCGAAGGAAATGATGACTTAGGCTTCGAAGACATATTTTAGACTAAAGACCAAAACCAGCTAACTGGGGAAGATCTGGTCCGACCTTTGGGTCAGTGGTGAAGGTTAATCTCCTGGAAATGAATGAAGTCTATGTAAAGTAATCCTGTGTGTCTTACCGAGGTACTCGGGTACGTTCTTCAGGTGGGGTTTGACGACAGCAGGATGGAGGTCTTTGTCGTGTCTGAGCAGCTGCAGATCTCTGGGGTTATCCTCAAAATACGTCTAAAAGAAAAAACATCCGATCACAAAATGTCCGCACTTCCACCGCCTCCGTTACGTCTCCGAGGACGAGGGACCGCCACTCACCTTGAGTTTCTCTGAGTTGAGCAACTCCTGTTTGATCTCCTTCAGTCTGGCCTCCCTCACTGCCTGCTTGGTCACTGACCGCATGGCGTCCTACCGACACACAAAAACAGATTCATCATCCAAATGTTTACAGCACTTAGCATTGCTAGTATAGCATAACGACCGGATGATGAGGATACTCACCCTGCACCGGTACCTGAAGCCTTCAATCTCATCCATCTTAAACTGGTACGGCTTCAGAACTGAATCAGCGTGGTCTAAAAAACAAACAAATATGTCAACTAAATGCGACTTTAACAGCACAGTCGGGAGTTTTTTCAGAGCTCATTTTTTCTCATGTGGGGTATTGTAATCCTGGGCTGTGAATGGTTGAGTCTCTTCAGTCTCGCCGCTCTGGGACACTTCCCACGTCTTAAAAACGAACACTGAACATGACGTGTGGTAGCGGCTGTGGCTTCCCATCCCCTGCAGTTGACTTTTCATAGCGCATCATCGTGGTTACTGCGATCTAAATCTGATTTTTTGGGTGGCTAAAATACATTTTATTGCTGCCACCGTCTACAGCAGTGCATTGTTTAGCTTCTGTGCCGGTACTCCTGTCTGCTTCTCAAAACTGGTGGTGTGCTGACCACCGTCTACTGTAGGTAATACACGGACTATGGACCTCATACAATCCCACTGTAAACAATGCAAACTATCCATTCAACTGTCTGCATCTTTTTTCCTCTGCTCCACTTAAACCTGCAGTAAAAACACACTGCTCAGAAATACAAAGACAGTAAAGTTCATTGTAAATACAATCATCTACTTACACTAGGACAAACTTGTTTTCTAGTGGCATCATTACATATAATACTAATATTACATCATCATCAAGACTATGATGAAATGTAATACCAGTTGTGTCTATGAATGGATGGATTGGACAGTTTAGAGCTGTCATTTTGTTAAATTTAACCATAATTAAACCATAAAAGAGGAGAACATCAGACATTAAAACCTCTGATTTTATAGAGAAAGATGTTAAATGTTACCTCCAGCGAGAGCCTCCTCCACCTCTGACAGCAAAGCGAGCTCAGTGTGAGCGATGAAGGACAGAGCGGTGCCTGGGTTGTCCGCCCTCGCCGTTCTACAAAATAAAAGACAATGTCAGGGTTTGATTCTCAGAGGTAAATGAATAGTTAATGCACAAACAGAGCCTGAAGCAGCACTCAGGGATCGGACTGAAGCACCACTTACCTTCCAACTCGATGAATGTACGACTCTACGGTTGTGGGGAAATCAAAGTTGATGACATTGGCAACGTTTTGGAAGTCCACTCCTCTGGAGACTCCGTACTCTTTGTCCTTAGTCCTTTAAAAACATCAGAAATGACCGTTAATATGTCCCCACAGGAAGGTTTGGCTGTTTGTTCACCTTGCATCGTCCAGACTGTGAGGATCAGCGACTCGGTGGAACTTTAATGTGCTCTGAAGGTTTCTCTTCTACAATCTGTGTGCATTCAGCAGCTCATCATGCAGTCAGAACCCGTAGAACGTAAAATCAGAGGTGTTGTTGCTGTAATTTATGTATGAAGATGTATGTATATTGTGAGTATGATGTTTTTTAACTGTAATGACTTTGCATGGCGACGCCATGATTTAAAATTGTAATTAAAGTCTGTCAAGTCATTATGGCAGAACTTAATTGCGTGTGTGTGTGTGTGTGTGTGTGTGTTTGTGAGATCTGAGTTGACTCACTTTCCTCCTTTCTCTGAGGTCTTCTTCTTCTTCCCTTTGCCCGCAGGTGTCTGTGCAGCAGCAGTGGGGTCGGCCAAACTCTGCTCATCTGTGGCGATGATGTAGTCGTAGAATCCCTGGTTAAACTGAGTGATGATGTGACACCTACAGCGAGTGGAGAGAAAGATCAAAATGAGCACAAGAAGAGGGGAATGTGGCACCGGTTTATTGCTGGAGCTATAGTGCGAAATCTAGTAGCAGTAAATTCTGTATTTAGAACCTTCAGTCCTTCAGTATCAGCTGTCAGACGTACCTGGAGTGGACGGGCAGCTCCGAGTTGAGCACGCAGGCAGGAATACCAAACTGCTCCAGAAACAGTTTGAGCCTGTAGCTTCTGTCCACGGCTCCCACAAACACCAGCGTCTTGCCCTGGACCAGCCGCAGCCTCAGCAGCGTGTAGATGAGCAGGAACTTGTCCTCCTCCTCGCACTTGATGCTGTACTGCTGCAGCTGGCTGCTGTCTGGGAGCTGAGAGCCCTGAAGCTTCAGGATCACCTGCAGGAACACGGATCCAGGTAAGGGGACGAAACCAGAACCAACAACACCTCCTGTACAACATCTTTACTGCGGCTTTTATTATGATCAGGGTCAAACAGCCGTTTCCTCTAAAGCAGAGACTACAGCCGCGTTCCCACCTCAAGAACTTTTAATCTCAGGAACTAAAAGCTTCCTTCAGCCCGTTGTCTGCATTTCCACCGCAGTCTGAAGACTTGCAATGATTAGGTGACTTATTAAAAAGCTGTTACACACAACTATCAGGGTTCTGGACATTTTCCAGGAGTTTTTCTTAACAATGCAGGACAGAAGAGAAAGAAAGCTTGCAAAGAAATGGAAAAAAGACAGCGTTCTTCTGTCCCACTCTGCATCTGGTAAACCACATTTGGAGTGTCAGTGTAGATAATCCTACAGAGTCGAGTTTCAGACAAAGTACGCACGATAAAAAGACAACTGAACTGAAATTTTCCAGGAGAACATAAATTATTTCCAGGATGTTTGGAGATTTTAATTAATTTCCAGGTGTTCCATGACTGGAAAACTACTCTCTAACTTTCCAGGTTTTTCAGGAGGCGTGGGACTCAACAATGATGTTCAGCTCCATCCGTTGTATGCTGTGAGGACAGTTCCTATACTTCTGGACAATAAATAATAAAATAACATCCCTGGAACCTCATTTAGACCCTGGTTCCTGTGGTGGAAACACAGCTTACCGACACTCAGGAAAAGACCATGACTGTGGAAATGACCTTACAGGGTTGTGCAGCAGCAGCTCCTTTAAGGCCTGAACGTCCTCAGTGAGAGTGGCCGACATCAGGAACGACTGGTAGATCTTCGGCAAATGGCTGTAAAAACACAACACAACAGGTTGATCGTAAGAGAAAGAGATGAGATTAAATGGAAATGTTGCAAAACTGTAGAGATCTCTCAACAAAAACTGAGATTATGTCTGTTATATTTTTCTTATTGTAAACAGACCAAAACTGAATGCATCTACTAACGAGTACTGTTTGTGTGTATCAAAGCCTG